GCGGGGTATGACGGCGGGCTGTGGCGACGGTCGTACAAGAAGAAGAAGAAGAAGAAGAAGAAGAAGAAGAAGAAGAAGAAGGAAGACAAGAGGGGGAGGAGGAGGAGGAGATAAGAAGAAGAAGAAGAATGAGCGGAGGAGGAGGAGGAGGGAAGAAGAAGAAGAACAGACTGGCACTCCACGTCGACGGGCGGCAGGGGTTGTCGGCAGGCAGGAGCACCGCGATGGAGGACGCTGGCGACGGGCGACACGACGACGATGGGCGAGTAAAGCTCCCAGGCAATGGCGATGAGGGGCAGCTACTTCGAGGACGGGCGACTCGACGACGAACGCAGCCGGCTACAGCAGGTGTCGACGCCCGTGCGGACAGCGAATGCATGCCGCCCCAGCCAGTGGCTTGTTCAAACGGGGCCTCCGTTTTCCCTCCAAAAACGAACGGCCCTCTGGGCGTTGATCATGGATGATCAACGGCCAGAGGGCCGTCCCAAATTCACAAAAAAAAAACAGGCCTCACGGGCCCGGCGCTCCGTTTTCTGGCCGTGGTCGGACCCGGTAGGCCCTGGGGAGGCGAAATCTCCCCGAATCGGGGTCTGGAACCCCCCACCAACAAGGTGTGCTGGGGGGGCCCGGCCCCCAACCGGGCCGCCCGCCCGGCCAGGCCGCCCGGGACCTACCTCGGGCAGGCGCCAGTCGGCCGGGCGGCCCGGATCCGTACGCAGAACAAATCTAAAAAAGGAACTATGTTAGGCAGAAAAATAAACTGAACAACTTTTTGCCTCAGGGTCTTATGGAAATTCTTTTTCCAGGAGTGGTTTCAGGACAGCGGCCTAGATTTGGTCAATTCTGTGCCTTGATTAGCCTACTCCTTAAGCTAAAATGGCTGATGCTGCCAGGACAACTCCGGGTGGAATTGTGTGAGGTCCTCGGCCTCAATTTGTCTGTTGGAATAAAAGGTTTCTTGCTTTAAAAAAAAAAAAAAAAAAAAACTTTTATGGAAATTCTTTACCAAAAAAAAAAAAAAAAAAAATTCCCGGCTGTGCATGTGGTCCCGGGCCGCTCTGGTAGCCCAGCTGTTCATTGCGTCTTGCAACCCTCTTCAAAAAAATGTGACGAATAGCCTGAGAAGCAGAACGTATCATAGTTCTGCTTTGTGCTATTAGAGGGACCGATGCTGTCCACATGTCTGCGTGCTTCGTGGTGGGCACAATGTAGCATAGTGCCGCTTCGCAGTATTAGACGGACCAGTGCTGTCTATTATGTCTGTGTGCTTCCTGGTGGTGCAAGACCTTTGTCCCGAGGACTTCATGGCTATCAATGGCGGTGTGAACCTTAACAGTGTGCGTAGTCTCCTTTCAGTGTGAGTGAGTTTCAGGGTCTGCTCAGCCTTAAAGATTTTGCTGGAGCCTGCTTTGTTCCCTGCCGTAGGAGCAGGTCGTTGCCGTGCTACCTGCTTGTATGTCTCTTCGCCCTCCTTGTTTGATGCCGTGTTGCTTTTCTGTGTGCCTCGTGGCCTGCCTGTCTGCATGCCTTGGTGCTTCACCATTTGCGTGCTTGCCTTGTTGCGTTGCCGTTTGCCTTTTCTTGCCTTTTTTTTTTTTTCCTTAAGAAAATTCCGCCGGCGTCAACAGATAGGAGTGATGGTACGAGCATGCACTCCTTTTTTTCTTTCTTAAGAAAATTCCACCGGCGTCAACAGATAGGAGTGATGGTAAGAGCATGCACTCCTACCCCTGTCTTGCAGGGGGCTGCAGTCTATTGGTGGTGAGCTGCATCTGCTGGAAAGCAGGCCCATAGTCCCTCATGAACTTTGCTGAGATGCTACTGATAATATGATGATGACGATGAAGATATCGATGACACAAAGCTAATGACGATGATGATTATGATGAAATCTATGGTACAATATAAAATACATCCGCACAACCTGGCCTCTCAATCTATGAGCAACTCCTAATCTTCCCCCATAGAGCAAACACGGCACTCCAATGACGATATCATATCCAAACCGATACCAACCGTAGCTGACATGTTCTCACTACCTAGACTATACGGAGCCGCTTAGGTTGTCATGGCAGCCCCCCCTCAGTTGGCCACTGGAATGTCTGCCTCGTTGCCTCATGCCGCGCTGCTTTCGTTCTCCCTCTTGGATTGTTCTCTGCGTACTCGCTGGGCCCTGCCATTTGCCCGTTCACGCCTCGTGGCATGTCCATCTGCTTTCTAGTATGGCTGCTATTTGCCTTGATGCAGTGCTGCCTGCTCGGGTGCCTCCCCGCCCATCTGTCTGCCCTTTTGCCTTCCTCGGTGTCTTGCGGCCTGTGCATCCTCAACGTTGGCCTTGGTACCTCTCTTTGCCTGCCTGCTTGGTGATCAGCCATGTGCCTCCTTGTCCTGCCCGCCTGCCTTGTTGCCTTGCTTCCTGCCTTGCGTCGTCGCCACGTGCCTTTATTGCCTTGATGCCTGCCTTGTTGTATGCTTGCCTGCAGCATGGTTTGAGGCAAATTTAGACTCCAAGCACCTAAAAAAAAAGGCTGAAATGGAATTTCGAAGACTGTTGAGGCTTCAGCCTCTTTTCTCTTTCAGATGTTCTTTGCAACGTACAGCCCAAGGATGACCCTAGAGCTGTAGGGCTGCGCATTGGTTCCTTTAAGGTTCAATCTAGTGGTAGGGAGCATCACCCACCTGCTGGTAACCAGGGCCGCAGCCCATGTGGCAGCCCTACAGCTGTAGGGTCAGTCTTGTGGTATGGAGCATCACCTGCTGGCATCTCTTAAAGAACGAATGCTGTGTGATGCACACTACATGGGCTGCAGCCTCAGCTCTTCAAGCCCTCGCCGAGCCGCAAATAGGACCAGATTCCGACTATGGACTCGACTGTAACAGATTCAGTGTTTTTTTTTTTTTTTTCTCAACGTCCATGTGGAAAAAAAAAAGAAAAAAGAAACTAAACTATTGGAGGTGGTATGAGCATCCCCCAGTAGTTTGCTTCCCTAGTTGATTGCCCCTTTCTATTGGTGGGGCCCAGCGTCCCTTGACGTATGTACAATGAGCTTTTCCAGCTTCAGCTCTGGTGGTTTCCAGGGCATTGGCAGGTGTAATTGCCTGCCGTACATAATTTTTCTGCTACCCAAAGTCTTACACCACCAGTACATGGCCCTGCTACTGAAGCCGAGCCTCTAACCAGCCCGCCGGCCAAGTTGAACCCAACTGCTGCCGCGCTTTTTTGTTTTCTTTTTGGCTGCGGCCTCCAGCCAATGTGGTCTGGTAGCCAGAAGCCCAAACGCTGCGGCGCGTTGACGGGGAAGCGCCGCGGCCGAGGTATGACCCAAGTACTGGTGGGAACAACACGTGCTGGGAACCGGGACCAGCGTCCCGTATGGATATTTACATAAAATTGTGAAAATTGAGATGCCGGGGCCATACCAGGGCTGCTGAGTTTTGCGGAGGGGGCATGCGACATTATTTCCTATGCATGCTTTACCATCTCGACCGTAATCCCCGCAGCTTCTGCACTTCCTGGGGTTGCCGTCTCTTGAAGCACTGCTCCTGGGTCTTGTTCGCCCTGCTATTTGCACTGTAGCCAACCATCGTCTTGTATTCATGCAGGGCTGTAGGCCACTCCCTTCCTGGACGGACACACACACACACGCACACACAACACACATATACACACACGCGCACACACGGACACACAACACACATATACACACACACGCGCACACACGCATACGCGCGCGCACACACATGCGCGCGCGCACACAACACACATACACACACACGCGCACACACACACGCGCGTGCACACACACACACACACACGCACGCACACAACACACATATACACACACACGCGCACACTTACACACACACACACACACACACACACACACACACACATATACGGACCGTTTTTTCCGTGGCGGTGGAATGCCTACT